CCACGGGTATCGAAACCCGGTTTCTAGCGTTGTAAGTCAGCAGACATACCGCTGTGCCACTGATAAAATAAAATTTTCTTAAATATAAATTACAATAAACCACCAGAAGTAAGAAAGAAAAAAGGTTTTATTATTGGACTTCAAATAAAAATTATCCAATAATCATAAAAACTGTGATCAAATTGTCATCTTTTCAGCTTTATGTATACCAAAAAGTTAAAAAAGAGAAAGTAAAGATCACAAACCAATAGGAAAACGTCGACGACTACTTTTTGGAGTTCTCTGCAGTGAGTGGGCTCCTTCTTCTGAAACACTGAGTCGTGGAGTAACAGCTCTATGATGACGTAATAATGAAGAAGTACTTTGTCCTAAAGCAGGACTGGCACAAACTGAGTGATCTTCTCGATCATCAAATACACTCTGAAAGCAGAACATAAACACTGCACGTTTAAAAAACTCCACTCAGTTTAAAACTTTCATTGACTGTTGAATCAAAATATACACGAACTAAAATAAAACAATCAATAAATACACAACAAACATGAAAAAATTTCATAAACAAAAAATAATAACTTAAACATTTTACTTGTGCAACAAAAGATAAATATAATTAAAACATTATGAATATTCATATTTACACAGATCAAAAGATGCAAAATAAAATAAATTATTAAAGAACAGTTATGAGAATTCAAATTATCAAAAAGGTTGCTAATACACTTGTTATAACTACATAGTAAGAAGACCAATACAGCTTATGAATGTTCATACAAAAATTTCTAATATTCTAAAAACAAAGAAGACAATAAAGCAAGACCTACTATATAACTTTTCTTTTTATATTACACAGGAAACTGATACAATAAAAAAAGGAAAAAAACATAAGATTTTTCTTCCTTTCTCTAGAGGTAAAGAATGCTGCTAACAATGTTCCACCAGGTGTCTTTAACTGCAGTTTTCCTTTCAAAATAAACATTAACTCAAATCTTCTCAACAAAAGAAGATATGCTCTTTCTTGTATGAGATGCTAATGAAACAAATGAATTAGGAAACACATAGTATCAATAAAGACAGACACTAAAAACTACACAGACAGGGCTGGCCTTAAGCCTATGCAGCCTTCTACAGTTTAACAGGTTCTGCTTTGCTTTTTATCTTGGTTTCAAAATTGACTGATTTTTCGTACTACAACACTGTTTTATATGTGTTGGCCTATATTAGGAGACACTACCAATTTAAAATATGTAGCTACAGACAGTACTTCCCAAACCCTGCCTACCATCACACCAAAAATAAAAAGTCTGATGTGGTAACAGGGTATTCATTTATGTGCTGCTGACTGCATATGTAACTTCATAATAGGAAACACATTTCTATATTGCTGAATACTCTGAGGAACTCTTCACTTTGTATCTTGTCTAGGGTCTCACATTAGCTAAGACTAGTACTAAATACAGGTTACTTTGTAAAGTTATAGCTTTTAAACACTTTATTACATTAGAAAGTTAGCATTTTCCTACACTGAAAATGTATTTCTGATACATACTTACCTCCTCTCACAAAATAGCTTTTCTCAACTAGCACTGCCCTCTATCAGTGCAAATTTTCAATGCACACCACTAGCTTTCCACCTCCTGTTTCTGCATATCCACATGCAAATGATCATGCAGCAGCTCTCCACCAATAGGAGCATGACACAACTCCTATCGTAACTAGCACCCTCTTCACACCTGCACTCATTAATTACTTTGAGACTAGTCAGAAGACCTCCCCCATATGTCACTGGAAATGGGGAGGCTGGGTGGGAAATGTGAAAAGAGGTAAGTATTCATCAGAAATACATTTTTTGTGTAGGAAAATGCTAACTTCCAATACAATATCTTACCTTCTCTCACAAAATAGCTAGAATCCCACACTGAACTGGTGGAAGGCCAGTGAAAAATTGAAGTGCCCAAAGAAAGACCAGGAGGTGTGGAACCAAAAGAGAAAACATCACACCTCAGCGGAAGACTGCACCACATTTGATTCAGGTACACTTTTTGCTCTTTTATGACAGCGTCATGAACATAAAAGACAGAAAAACATGAAGGAATACCATAATATGTATGACAAATGAATGGTGGTAGTTCACCTCATCCAACACCAGGCAGCAGCTGGAATGATACATCACCTACCTCTTCACCTCAAAACGGGAATTGGTAGGGAAGACAAGTATCTGTACCAAAATCTGTTTCCACTTGCGTGCATTTCCAACTTCAGATCCGCCAGGAACCGACATCCAGCAGATAGTAAGAAGGTGGAAAGCTCCGGTGGGATAACAGCTCTGGCCCAAAACCTGATGGCAATTGGTATGGTACTTCCAGTCGACAGTAGGAGGAGGATATCTGGCCATACACAAGCAGGAAAACGTGCTGCATCCAGCTACAATTAACATCAGATCCACCAGGAACTGACACCAAGCAGATGGTACGAAAAGGAACCGCAAACCTGGGGTGCATATCCAAAACCTGGTGGCAGTGGGCATTTGTCATCCAGTTCATAGTAGGAGGAGGGATACTGGCCAGCACATATATGAGGACTTACTTAGCTGGACAATCTCCAACCAAACACCAGCTATCTCACTCAAATCAAAACTGACCGGAACAATCCCAGCACAACAACATTCTTGGAATATAAAAACATTAAGGGATTGCTTAAGAGGAAGAATCGTATTAATCCACAAGTTCCATCACTGTGACCCACAACATGGGTGGAGTGAACAAGAGTACAATCGAGTGAGGAAACAAAGGTACCTGTAATACATGTGTGAGGACTTATGTTGATTGGTTCAACTCTGAATTCAAAACCCAGCCACTGGGAACCAATATCCATGTAGGGGTACGATGAGAGATCTCAATTGATGAGGTGAACTGCAATTTTGACAGCTCACTCCAGAGCTACAACATCCCCTTGGATAGACTCATATAGAGAAGGAGTGTCAGATTGGAGGGCATCTCATCATCTACACCAGCAGAACATCACCACACAACTCTCAACTGAATGGTTTCATTATTGTATGTATCATATACCACTATCACATTCAGGAGGATGCCTTCACAATCCACCACCCCAGCAGCTTGGAACTGGAAAGTGGTAAGGACTCCCATACTCTACTGGAAGAAAATGGGGGGATAAAATGCAGTGGAGAGTCAGGGGGAACGTCAACACCAGAGATAGTGCAATGAGTGACCACAAAACCCTATTCTGAAAAGCAGACCAAACCTGATTTTTTTCAATTTAAGGAATGACAGGGATGAGCAGCTATTCCCTTCTGTTTTACCAATGAGGTCTCTGGGTGAGTACAGTCTAGAACAGGCATATTTATGAAGCTAATATAATGCAAGAAATAACCTACTAGCAATTTTATGGAACACCCCATCTCTATTTTATGCCACTGTAATAAACAGTGTGCATTTTGTGGCCATGGAAATTATGTAAGTGAAGTGAAAATGGCCTTACAGTGAGGGTTTAGGTACAATTTTAACTGATTGAAGTATATCTGGACAGGTACCATTTACCACAGAGCAGGATCCTGGTCAAAATATGGGACAGGCCCCTGAAAAATAAGATATATAATAAAAGAAAGAAAATTTACCCTGTTACAGTCTCCCTGAATGGTGGATGATGGTATCCTGACAAGGAACAAACAGCTACCCAAAGCAGAGAATGGGAGATGAATGTATGAGGTGTAGTCTCAGTGCATGACAGACGAAGTAACTCCAATGGATGACAGGGTTGATATGCAGGGAAAAGGGTAGGTGCCTGATCGGAGTGAAAACACCAGGAACTGATTACAGGAAGAAGGAGACAAGGAATAAAAGGCTAATCAAATCACAATCTGAACCAAATGGGTAAGGGAGAAAGGAAAATAAATCACAGACAAAGGAGTGGTGTAAGGGAATGAAACTGTGGGAAATGGATTCAATGGAAAGAAGCCTTGAGAGCAATGAAGCAACCCACAGCATGTACTGGACACAGAAGGTCATCCAGATCTGACCCAGAATAAAGGTGAAAGATGGCATGAAATGAAAAAGTCAAAAAGAATATTCCACATGAGCCCCCCAAAGTACAGGTTAGTAAAATTGATGCAGAACAAAAAGAACATATTGAGCCAAAACATGAGAAAACCAGATCTGTGCTGGCCAGGAAGGATCAATCAGAAAGGCCTGACCTGGAGAGACATGGATGAACAAATCATCTTGGGAAGAAGACTGATGGAATGAGAAAAATTAAAGATATAAACTGGATCTAATCTTGTCTGAATATACTGAGAGCCAGGCCAAGTGGATAATGAACCAGAGACCAAAAACAAAAGACATAACTTGGAATCGCTAAAGAAGTAAAAAACTTCATGTGAAAAAGTGTCCCACAGGAGACAGAGCCATCCAAAATTTGAAGATCAAGGAGCCATCCCTTGTGGAAAAGTATGTCGGGACCGGAAAGGCGATCAGCAACAAGGGCAAAAGTACCCGGAAAACTACAATCCAGGAGACATATGGCAAGTGTGTGTAGCTTTAAAAAGAGAGATCCAGTGTCTACCACAAAGGGAACAAGAATGAGTGCCCCCTCAGTGAGTGATATAAGCCACCACCATCGAATAATTGGAATGAAACATGATTAGTCAAATCCAGACAAGAGGAAGAGAGTGAACTATAGCACGTTGGATTGCCAGAAGTGCCAGGGTGTTAATGTGATAAGACTTTTCATCTGTAGACTATTCTCCTGAAGCTTCCTACTGATCAAACCATTCTCTCCACCTTTGAAGATGAACATCAGGGAAGAGAAACAATTCGGAAGAGGGGGAGGAAGTGATGAACCTGATGCCATGAGGGATATGTTCAACCATCAACGTATATAGTCAAAGAGGGAAGGATGAAAGTTAAGAGGAAAATCCAAAGGAACCCTAGCAAGAGACCATAGTTCATGCAGCATCTCCTGAAAAGATCGCAAATGTAAAAACCAGATAACTCCATTGAATGCATTCAAGGAGGAGAATGGATGGTCCCAGTGGAGGGGGGTGTTTAAAAATACACTCTCAAAATAGATGAGAATGTGAGGTATGTAGAAGGAAAACTTATCCATCTGGAAAATCCAACTATCTGAGTCGACTGTGGAAGAAGCAGATGAGTATGTTATGACCATGCTTTTTTGGAAGGAGCTAACTTAAGCTAGACATCAAAGTAGTGGTGTTGGTAAAATACCTGGTAAAATTCAGACCACCCAACAAAAGACATATGGAACTGAAACAAGTCCAAAGGGTAAGACACAAAACTGGTACTGAATCACATGGTGAAAGGAAAACCTAAGATAGCATCCTGAGAAATAAAAAATAAGAATGTGTTCCGTGGGCATTCTCAGTCCTGTAGAAATGGCCCATCAAAATGTAATTAAAGACTACATATTAAAATAGGGAGGACCCAAGAAGTGACTGAAGCAGGACCAATTGATCCAGAACTCCAATCAGCTTCAAGCGTACATGACGAATGGAGAAACCTGTAGGTAGGACGGGAAGGTGCTGGACATGAAAAATGAATAAAGATGACAATGTCTGAGAATGAAACAAAAGAGCAACCAAAAGAATTAGAATATGACATCACAGATACTCCACATGATGCTAAATCTACAATAGTAGCCCCAAAAATGGGCCAGTGGAGAAAGAGATCTAATTCTAAGTCCCTATTAGAAGTGGATGATAAACAAATGGTACAAAGACAGTGTCCCACCCCAGAAAATCCCAAAAGCAAAAAGGCCATGTGAAGATGACAAACGCCTCAACATGGAGGGATAAAGGAGGAGTTATCCCATGAAAATCCCTAAATATAAGTGAAATGCCTAAGATAGAAGGTGTAAGACAAACATTACTTGTAGGAGAGTCGATAGGATAAGACAAAGCTGAAAAACTAGGTATGGGATAAAATGGATAAGATTAACAGAGAATGCCCCCTATACAGGTGACAAAGAAAAAGCTAAGGCATGAGGGTAAGCTAAGGCAAAATGAACCAAAGCCTGTGTTTGGCAAGGCTTGCAAGTACCCACTCCCAAAAGAGAGACAAAAATGCTTCTCATGAAATAATGTCTAGAGAAGGAGGGGAAGATTATACTGTGATACTGTGAAACATAGCTAAAAAAACAAAAACTGAGGTAGGCTTAGCAAATTCTGCAGTAGAAGCCTGGGAAGGCAAGCCATGATCAGGTGGAGGAAAACTGACAAATTCTAGGTCATCTGAAATGGGTTTGGCTGTTGTATAAGGAAGGTGAGAAATATTGCGAGAGGGTAGGGTGAACCCCAGCCCCCAGGGGCCCTCACAAACGAAATTAATGGTAAGAAGTATAAATTATAAAAATGATGAAAATGAAATAGTTGATATGTTATAAATGTAACAAATTGTTGTGTAGTAAAATAAGCATATGTATTAGATTGCTATGTGTTGAAGAAAACAAGATATTTAACCTAATTAGTGATTTTCCTATAAGTAGAACTACAGGTAAACTGAAAAGAACAGACACTTGTTAAGCCTAATCAAACAGTGCAAGAAAAGGTACAGCACTAAGCTCTAAATTAAAAACCCTAACCTGACAACAAGTATATACAATATTGAGAGAAGAAGTTTGTATGGACCCCGGCTTCAGAGTTCCACACAAATCCAGTTAATATGAAGGAGTATAAGAGATTAATAATAATGAAAATGAAATAGACATTATTTTGTAAAATTAAGTAAGTTTGTATTAACAATAACATACATATGAGACATGATGTATGGAAGAAAAACAATATAGGTAAACTAATGATCGACATACTAGTAAGATGAATTTCAGGTAATCATAAAATAACAAAAACCCATGTTAAGCTTAATTGAATGGTATAAGACAAAGGATACAATTATGCCTAATTTTGAAGTTGAACTTGAATATGAGTATTGACCAATCTAACGAAACTTATGTTATGGAACCCAAATAACTACAGATAATAATATTAACAATAAAAATATTCATAACAGTATAACACTGTATCTTTCCAAAGTTGGCAGACTGTATTTATAAATGTGTGGGCCCCCAAACTCGAGTCAATTCCTGATGAAGGTCAGCTCATTGGACGATCAATATCCCAACAAAGTAAAGCCGATAATTTCCCAGTGCAGTACTGCCACCTGAAGCCTGTGCTGATCAAACATATAACCTCCGAAGTGGTAACTTAGAATTCAAAATGAATAACAATACACAACCATGTTGGCAGAAAGAAATAAAAAGTTTAGTAATGAAGTAATAAATTCCATAACTGGGTAGAAATATAAAATAATTTCACTTCAGAATAACTCACCTAGTTATAAAAATCACTACTGTATAATAAATAGTAAACTTCCTCAGAAAAACTGATATAAAGATATGGAAAAAAAGAAAAACACTTGAAGAGAACACAAACTAAACATCACAACACGAGCACTGCAAAACGAAAAGTGACAGTTCGGTAGAAGTGAATAGAGGGAGTCACATGCATCAGGAGTGTGTGTGTAATACTCTTATTGGAGGAAGGTTGTCGCATGAGGATTTACATGCGAGACACAGTTGAACCATTTGATCATAAGGTACGTGGGAGCTCAAGGCTTGTGGCATGTGAAAATTTTGTTTGCATATAGAGGGCAGCACTGAACAAAAATAGCTATTTATGTGAGTGAAGGTAATGTACCGTAATGGAATTTTTTATTTAACAAAATATTTGATGGCTATATGTAAAGGTGCTGACCCATAGACAGAGTTACAACAACAACAAAAATCATAAAACAAAGTCATACACTGACTAATAATCTTAGTGGTATCTCACATGCATGAATATCACATAATAATATTCAAGTGTTATTATCCTGTAAATATTTATTCACTCTTACTTTTGCACATCAACAGAATTATACATTTATCTTATAGTAACAAAATAATTTCAGAAAACAGAAAATTATGCTTTGTTTAATTCATATAACTATAACTAATTTTAGAACTCCCAAGTGATTGCCCATTAGTCTATAGTTTCACTTTTTTGGTTCACAACAGTTGTACTGTTAATAATCACAAGTCTAAACTACCTTCTGACCTTACCATTTCCTTAGAAACCTTTCTTTTTTAAATTCTGGTCTAGAAGTTAGGTTTTTATCAACCTAATCCAACATATTCACTAATTTTCTTAATCTTCAAACCTTACAAACACATCTCAATTGTTATCAAACAGCATAAAGTTTAATATTTCCTGACCCTATCTTAAAATTCAGATAAGTTTTATAAGTATACTTATATTTCACTGACACCAATAAGAGAAGACAGAGATATGGCATTTATTTTCACCAATGTAACAACTGATTTCATTTTTATACTTATTATATTACATAGCACATCAAGAAATATAAATATACAAAAATGGAAAAACAGAAGTTTCTGAAGCAAAACTTAAAAGAAAAATTTAATCTCAAGTTTAGTAAATTAATCAACTTGGTACCCACTACATTATATCTAAAAAATGGTCTACTGAATATGCAAAAATTTTTATTTATACTTCATTATACTTATACAAACTTAATATTCTTCATTGCAATTTTCCCATCATATCCATAATTTTACTCAAATTTGGTAAACAACTAGATCAACACACTTGCCTCAGTTGTTAATGTACAATTTATGCATATATATATATATATATATTTACCAAACTTTATTACACTTGAATATATTATCTTTTAAGGATTTGTGAACTCTTATGAGATATTATTGGGATTATGTCTTAAAATGTTGATACAACAAAGATTCCCAACTGATGAATCAATGCAATATAATCATTACAAGATTTTGTTTTATGACATGTGTTCTTCTAATTAGACTATGTACATTATTTTCTGAGTTAATTGTTAGTTCTGATCCATGTAGACAACTTGCTTTGATAATCAATATATGACAGATTATCACCATTTTCCAGATTTAAAATGATCATTAGATTTATATTCTGGATGTAAAAAATAAAATATTCATTTGCAATAATTTTTTTAAATACATCCAATATCTTTGAAAGTTCACAGCTATTTCTTAAAATTGTCTATGTTTAGCTTATTAGCCATTCATATTTTGAACATAATTTTGATTAAACTTTTAATTACTTGATTGCTTGGAGCTTTACGAATGCCTCGCCTCCTGAAAAAGGACTTTCTGCTAGACTTCTCTGGAACTGTCTCATTTACAACAAACACAGTGGGTGAAGAAATAATTTCTCTACTGTAATCATCATGGTCAACAGATTTGCTATGTCTGTAAGATGGGAGAAAGACAAAAGTTAAAAGTGATCTCCTAAATAAACAATTATAAAATGAAAAAGATCCAATTATTTATTTGTAAATGAAAATAATCAATACTTCTAAAACTTTTCTACTTGATAAATAAGTATGTATATCTATAACCCTCAATTCAAACTCACTATTACTTGTAATATGTAACAATAAATTTATAAAACTTTTTGTATCAACACATCATAAATCTAAATCAAGGAATAGTTTCAAACCAAAAATAAATCATGTTTAAGTGTTTTTTTTTTGTTTTATGTTTTATTAGGCCTCTTAAAAAGATGAATAACAAATAATGGAAAATATTTTTAAAAACCTCAGCTGCAACAAAAAGATTCCTTTATTAGAGCTTTTCATCTTCCTTTTAGTTTGTCAACAACTAAACACAACTAAATTTAATTAGTCTTAAAGAATCTCTTCTATTATGTAATTACAGATGTCATATTTTAATCAATTATCGTCCACTTTGAATAATGATGAGTTTGTGTATCTTTTTTATTTTATTTAATCACAACCTTCCTTGTCCAAATTCACCTAACTTATAAAATCCCTGACATTCACCAAAAATACCACAAAAAACAGAACCAACATTTACTAAAACACTAGTTTTACAACCCTTAGTTACAAATGAACATTTTCATAAAAATACCTATCAACATCAAAATTAGTACACCAATTTGTTGAATTGATGTAACAGTACAGTTTTATTCAGTACTTAAATTTTATCACTGCATATCATAAGGAATTCTATACTACTTAAAACTTGCTAAGAATCACTCTCAAAATACAAATAAACAAATAACAGCTAACTGGTAACCACATTACAGTTGCATAATTTATTTATTTTACGTGCTCTCAAACACAAACTGTAATCACTTTTTCCTGGTGTTTCTTTACACAACTGAGTGTGAAATAAAGTACAGCTTTTTCCAACTGATTATGAAATAATTTTTTTTAATAGTAAGTGTGTCCATCAATAGCATTGACCACTGCCTAGCATAATTCTACATGTTTCTGATGAGCTTTTGGATATTGATACATGGCAGGTGGTTCCACATCTACATAAGGGCATTTCAAAGCTTGTGGAGAGTCACAGATTTGAGAGAAAAGGCTGTCATGCAAAAGTATGGAGAAGACCTGGAGAGCACTAGAACAGCACAGACTTAGCTGAACATGATAGCTACGGTGGTGGTGGATGTATTATGGTGTGGGGCAGCATTAGATTCAAAGGCGAAACTGACATTCTAGGAAAGCTGTGTTGTACAGGAGTGAGAGATTCTGAACACTTACATGAAGTGATACACTGGTACCATTGATGATGCCTTTTGAAAAATAATAAACACCCACATCACACTTTGCTCTTGTAACCATTCCTTCAGAAGGAAGCTTGGTCTCACAGTCATGAACTCAACTGAGTAAGTCTGAAATGCTCTAAATCCTGCTGTTCTGGCCTGGGCTCTTCCATAAAGAGCACTGGCATCCAATCTTGAATTATCCAAGTAAGTTACTCTTGACCATAATCTCAACTGTCCTGCTTGTGGTGCTGGGTTGACAGAATTCTAATACAGGTTTTCTGTTATGTAGAGTCTGGGTTGATACATGAATTACAAATTAATTTTCAAGGTCACATTGGAGCTTTCATGCTTTCTGAATAGGATAAGAATCAGTCTTGTCTAGAGTTTGCATTCCTTATTCAGCTACCTACTTGCTGCCTCTTTACATTTGCATCGATTCTATGTCACTTCTAAGCACAAGAAATGGCACTTTCACTCACACTTCATTCTGTACCATACTGAGATCACATGATAATTCCCAAGATCTGACACATTCTTAAGCAATAATGATCCAATTGCAAGCATCAGAACAATGAAACTAAATGCAATGCAAAGATAAACCATGTGACACTAGAGCATCCAATGTGGCAAGAATCCATCACTGGATGAATCTACAAGTCATGAGTCATAAAAAGTGATAAATTACAACAAGTGAAAACTATTCATTCATTACTTGAATAAAAAGCTTGCTCCTTTCCATATGCTATAGATTAAGAAAAAATTAATACTGGATATTTGATAGCATTTGAGAAACAGTGATATATACACCTGGAAAAAAGTTAAG